GCATTGCCATCTAACATTTGCGGGCGGAAACTAAGTTAAGGTCCTAATATTACTACCACCATCTCTCCCATAAAGAAGATTATTCAATGGGATGGAACGGTATAAAGATAAAAACGTCCGATCGAAGAATTCGTTAAGCCGCGGAACGCAGAAGTATCTTATGAGTTCCCGAGTCTATCTAGAACAAGAGAGACAAGCCGCGAACAAAGGTGGAAAATCAGAGTGGACGGAAGTCTCCTCCGTGGAGTACGGTTTATGAGTCTGTTGGGAAATATCCGGTTGCGGGGCTTCAAAGAGACACGCCGCTCGAGAAACGAAAGGCGATGGAGGTTCGATCTTACTTGTGCTTCAAATGCTGCGGCGTTCCGATACACCTGAGACCGGCCCGGGCGAGAATACCAACTTGGTTGCACAGGTCCTCGCATTCGGCGACACTGTGCGACGTCAGTATGACACATCCTTGATTTCTCGTCACTTGCCTCACGGCTCGGGCCACAAGACTTTTCGTGGCGGGGTCCATTCCACTGAAACGATCAAGATATTTCGTCAATACAGAAAGATAATATTTTAATAAGAATTACACACAATAAAGTTTTCTAATTTAATTAAATTTTCGTAATCGTGTACTATACAGAAATTACGTGTGACTGAAATTATTACATATATTTACTTAATCCTTAAACTGTTTGTGTGTCTCAACAAATTAACCTAAATAATGCGGTTTTAGATCGGTTTAGATCTCAAAAAATTAACTTAAATAATGCGGTTTTAGATCTTGGATATTAGAATGGTCATTTATCCGAATATTTAAAAGCCCTACTCTGGGCAATGCAAACATAGATTATACAGCCTGAACTATGTAGCAAATTATTTTATTGAGTGAAAGTGAGAGAGAGAGAGAGAGAGATTTTTACAATCTATGTCATAATTCTTATCGATATGTTTCTTATTCTTAGCGATATGCGACAGCTCGTCGCACTTATTATTTTTGTGATAATTTATGTTACAATGTCGGCATAGTCCAGCTTTACGAAAAGTAAAATTACAAAAAGAAACATGTTTTTAATATAATTTTTACTACAAAATTGTCTCTGTCTACGGGATTGAATGATTCCGGACGTGAGTGAGCGATTGCAGCTATCTCGAAACTTTAACTCAATCCCCTCATTAAATTTAACGATGTCTTCTTTCTCTACTGACTTTTTTATCGAATTCTAAAATTACAGAATCGCTGGAAAATATACCTTGTAGGCTCATCCATAAGCACCACTGCTACAGGTGCCATGACACTAATAGCGGCGCACAGCTTCCTTCTGTTACCGCCGCTGAGATTGTCAACTCTCCGATGAGCATACTTGAGCAAATCGAATCTCTTCAGCATCGACTCGACGGCCTGAAACAATAAACGAAATCCTTGGATTTTCAATTCCACGTCATGTCCCCGCAAACTTTGCACTTAACTAAAGCCTCGACTTCCTCCTACGACTGCGGGATCATCAAAAAGATCCGGCGGGAGATTTCAAGAACAACTGCGGCGACGCCGCTTAAATTATGAATGTCGCGAGCTGATAATAATATAATCGCGTAAAAAATCCCAGTGAAGATCTCACTGGGACTAGATTTGACTCGACATCACTTTCCGCAAATTTATTCGCGCCCACCTTAGGAACGTTACTCAAGCCGCAAACTTCGGCGTGGATCGTCAAACATTGATGAGGAGTGAGGAATCCATCCAGAGCGTCGCTCTGAGGGCAATAGCCAACCTCGCCGTTGCACAAGGGTCCGGTACCAATCTCTTTTCCCCGCAGAGCGATCTTGCCGGCCGTAGGAATGATCTCCGTCGTCAGCATCTTGAACGTCGTGCTTTTTCCCGCGCCGTTCACTCCCAGGAGACCGAAACACTTGCCGGCCTGCACGCCGAAACTTAAATTTTGTACCGCGACATTCGTCCCGTACACGCTCCTGTATTCCTTCCGCAGCTTCAGGGTTTTCAGGGTGTCGTCGACCATGCCGGCCTCGACCCTCAGTCTCTCCCTGGCAACGTCTTCGTCTTCCTGGACGACCTCGTAACTGATCTTCTGTTTCCTCATGTAGGGATACATCCGGCACTCGATCACCAGATTCAGCACGAACAAGATCCCACCGATCACGATTAGAAAGACGTAGTGGGTGCCGAGAAAATTCCAGCTGAGCGGTGATTGATACGTGTCCATGTTGAATCTTTCCAACAGTTCGGCGGTGATGTCGTTCCTCGATATCTCGATCAACGCGTCGCCGAGAGTGTATTGCGGGAAGACCATGAGGATGTAATGCAGAATGTTTCTCACGTCTTCGGCGGTTTTGGTCTTACCGACGATGTCGAGTACGAGAATAGTCGCCAAGGAAGCCACGCCGATGAAGGTGTTCACGCAGAAGAGCACCATGTTGGACAGGCTCGAGTCGTCGAACGCCTTCTCGGCGACGTGCGAAAATGGTATTGCCGCCCATCTGAAAAAATCGAAGAACCCCTAAGACACTTCTGTGTCGTCTTGTATCGAGATTCAAGTGTGATTGATTGCGTGATATACTTGCCCAAATAAAGCTAATAGCAGACAGATACCGGAGAGGTTATCTTTCGCGACGTAAGCTGACAGGCCGAAGATTTCAAATACGATGACCGCCAGACAAATGGCACAACCAAACACCTGAAATAGAATATTAGTAATTATTAAAATAATAATACGGAATAATATATGCCACTTATTACACATATTATTAAAAAATAATAAGAGGATATTAAGAAATAACAGTATTTAAAGTCACGTTTTGGAAAATAATTTACTTCCAGATTGAGAAAGAATCTTTACGAGTCCCGTATCTCGATTGAAATAACTCACGATGAAATCCCAAATTAAAACCGTCGCCCAGTACGTGATAGGATGAACTCCGGCCAGATAGAGTATCCTCTTTTCTTCCGATAATCGTTCTCTGACTAACTCCTTCGTCCCCTGAGCTCCAACCAGACTGAAAGCTATCAAAAGCACCAACGCCACACCGACGTCCGCCACGTGTTGCAATCTGACGCAAAAACAAAATGTCACTCGACAGCAAGTCGAAAGCAAAATAAAATTGTTAACTTTCGCGCAACGACGTTTTGAGTCAATTCCAATTATTACGGAGAGATATACATAAATGATGATCTCTCTACGCGTTTTCCCTTCACGAAAATCCGTAATATACGAGCTTAATATTAATCAGCAAAGACAAATAAAAGCGATATCATTAACGACATAACGATGCGAGCACTGTCCTGAATCTACGCGAAACGTTGAAAGCAGCGCTACGCCGTTGGCATGAATACCAAATGATGTGGTACGTTAATTAAAAGTAAACGAAACACTCGTGTGCGAGCTGTCCCGCTCGCGTCCCGACTCTTTTAGTTCAGAAGCTTCAACCTGTGTGTGCAAACATCTTTGCTTATCCATTTGAACGAATCCGCGCCCGCATCCCTTTACGTGAAATTCTGTAATTAATTAATTCTCAAACACACGCATACATTATACACACGAATACATGCGCGAAAGCCGACGTGAAACGTATATTCTCCTTTAGGGATTCTTTCCGCTAATTACGTATTTATATCTCGAGTGTAGCCAAACTTAAAGACGCTCACAGAGATGTTCGATTTAGTTGATCCCTCGACAGCTTCAAGGGATGATTGAGTGTGGTTAAGTGCCCTTGTATCCCGGATGCACGGAAGATTGCCTCGTTCAGAGCGTTTAAATACGCCGGCATCGAGTGATGACCCTTGTTATTATACCAAACGACGAAGAGAGGATCCTTCTTGTAGTGCGACAAAGACCAACCGCCGTATCTGCGAGTCATTATTCGCCAAAATTTGAGTCCGACGAATTCTCAGTATTTCATTTGCTCGCAATGCAGAACCTCGAGATTTACCGTTTCTCTATGTATTCCTGATGCGTCGAGACGATCCAGTCCAGAGTAGGTCGACCAGGCAAGGTTTGAAGAAGACCTTCGACGGCTTTGGAAACACCGCGGCAGCTTTGCTGACCATCTATGCATTCGCAGGTGCCGGTATCCTGTTCAAATAGTCGTTCAATGCATGAATTTATCTGTAATTTTCGTAAATTTGTACAGAGAAGCGGCAGTTATCATGCGTTCTTACGTTAGGTAGAGTTTGCCACGCGCCAGCGTAATCATCTCCGAAACGGTCGTGCAGCTGTAGAGACACGTGTTGCAAGAACGGATCGTTACCCCCGTCAATACTGCGATAAAAAAGGAATGCTAGAGAACGTTTTAAGAAATTGGATACAGAAAAGAGAGAAATTCGACAGTGCGATCGAAACTGGTGACTCTTGAATTCGCGATTCTATTTCGCGGATCTCTTCCCCTCGTCCGCGCATTTTCTCTCTTATTAAGTCTACATTTCTCCTACCTGTAAAAGTAGGTCGGGTGAGTATTGTAAAGTTTGGGAGTCAGAACCAGAGGTGGCTCGTTCTCGGACGGTGGTCGTATCAGCGAGAATCCCATGGCGACTGCGACGAACATGGTCGGCAAAATAAGCGCGGCCAACGGCGCTCTCCAGTCCCTCGCGAAATGCCACAGTCTCTTCTTTATGATGGCTCTCATTTGCCGGATTGGTGAGGGCTTTGACAACATCTCCGTGGTGATCAGATCGACGTCGTCGTCCGGTGCGGACATTTCTGCGCAGAGTGAAAAGCTTTAGCTCCCCCGTGAGATCACACGGACTCGGTCGGGATCGATTCAATCGGATCTCCGTTTCTTCTCAGAAGCTGAAAGATTCGTGTGCAGTCCGGTGTGCACAATCGGGCGCACTCGAAGAGTTCACTCGAATCGGCGCGGTGAGTTAGGCTCAAGAATGACTTTTTTAATTAAGGGAAGCGAGATTTCATCTCTCTCACCGATGTGACTCTCTAGAGTAGCGACGCTGTCCTGACTCGCCCTGATAACGCTCGGCCCGTTGTCTGCTCGCGCGCACAGATCCAAGAAGACTCTCTCCAGAGTGTCGCATTCCAATGAGAAGTGTGAGAATCCCAGCAGCTTACGGTTGTCCTCCAGAGCCTTCGCCGTTTGCGCGATGCTGCAACATCCTTGAGTTTACTCAAACGCTCAGAGAGCGTTATTTAACCGATCCGAGCACGCGCTGAGACCATTATAGTGGTTTCTCCTCGGGCAAATGGCTCGAAACTTCAAATATTTGCGAGAACGAAATGAATTACAAGCAGCAGCTCGTGCGTTACTGTGAATTACTGCGATATAAATGGATTTCACCTAATTTTCTCTCTGGTCTGTTACATGAGAGAACAAGCAGAGCGCAAATTTTTCACCTCAACGTGCGAAAAATACGCGGGTATGAGACGCGAATTAGACGAAACGATTAAGTCAACTCGTGCAATGGAATTTTATCACTGAGATAAATTATTCGACGAAAGATTATCAAGCGGATATTTCCGATCAATTTTTCTACCCGATTAAATTTAGTCTTCCAATCATAATGGTATTCCAATTAAAACTAACGGCAAACTAATCAAAAAATTAAGAACCAATATTTCTCATCGGATGTTCCACGATTGGAAATAAAAATTGACCGGTACTTTAAACGGAAACATCCACTTGATAATTTCTTATCGGATAATTTCTCTGCGACACTCTAAAGCGAAGCAGTCTTGAGAAACAGAGGTCGAAAATGATTCATATCGGGTGTCACTTACTCATTATTCATGCCATTTTTCCCCTGGAAAGGCAGCGTGATGATCAATTCTGACTCGGAGACCTCGTTCATCGTGGCGTTCGGTACGATCTCCTCGACGACGGCGCGGAGGGCCTTCAGGTGTTTCTTGTCGCTCATATCCACGTTCTGGTCGGCCGAAAATGAAACGTTCATTCGGTATCCCTTGCCGTGCATCATCTTCAGGGACAGTGGCGAGCCGGTGCACAAGATCTTGCCTTTGTGCATCACCACCACGGTGTCGCTCAGCATGTCGGCTTCGTCCAAGTGGTGAGTCGATAGCAACACGGTCCTGCCGATTCTATGTTGGTCGATCAACCGCCAGATCCTCCGTCTAGCCGCAGGATCCACACCGGCGCCGGGCTCATCTAAGATGACCAGTCGTGGCGAACCGAGGAAAGCCAGAGCGACACACAGTCGACGTCGCGTACCGCCCGACAAGCGTGACACAGGCTCGAGCTCTTGACGTCCGAGCTCCAAGGACGCCAGCATGCTGTAAAGAACGAAGGAACTTGATGGAAGTCCTCAATAGGGATTAAGTACGACTACGAGAAACTGTTTCTTTAAAAATTAAAGATAGAAAATTGAATACTTCCTATTACACGTATCCGATCTAGAAGATCGAAAAAGCAAAGCCGCACCCTATTATTCTTTTATACATCATTTTTTACTTTCAATGTATTATGCATTTCTTTTCGTATATATCTAAATATCTTTCGTATATATCTTAATTAATTGCAAATTATTGGGATTCAGCGGTTTGAAAAGTTTGATTTATCGTACGTTAAAGGAACGAAAAATCATTCGGCGCCTGCGTTTGACACCATCAAACGTTCTCCTATTCTAATTTATATGCATAAATATCTATCGTTTGCTTTTATAGACCGCATTATTCTTCATTTCTTTTCGGAGTGTCTTACTCGTTAACATGCTTCTCCATGTTGGCGCTATGGGTAGGTCTCTTAAGTTTCCAGTAGAAGATCATATGCTCCCTCGGCGTCAGGGTGCCGATGAGTACGTTGTCTTGAGGACACACCCCTATGTCGGGCTTACAACCCTCCTCGCCATTTAGGCAAATTTCGCCGTCGGTCGGTGCCACCATTCCCGTGAGCATTTTGCTGTAACGAAAACACACACCGTTGGAGTAGACCGCACACGAACGTAACGTTAAATTTGCTCGGTTATCCGATGAATTATTAAGGGTACTTATAAGTAATCGAGTATATTTCCAAATAAAATATATTTCAAAGTATATAGATGAAATTTTTCTTTTTAATCAATGATATAATAAATTAATGAGTAAGTTTAAACACGAAGATTACACACAAATAAATAAAGTTAATAAACCCGCAAAAATAGCGCACTAAGAAAATATTGATCAGTTATGTGCCACACAGCTCAGGTATAGAAATTGATGGAAAGAAGAGTATTACAAATACTTGATTATACTTATGGATACTTAAGAGCTTGGAACTTTGAAAAGCTTGACGTACATAATGGTGGTCTTTCCTGCGCCGTTTCTGCCGAGTAGACTTGTCACTTCGCCCTCACAAAGCTTCAAGGTGAAGTCGTCCACCGCGATCACGTCACCTTGCTTGGAGTGGTAAACTTTCTTGACGCTCTCGAACTTCACGCCGATCTGCTTCTCGGTGACCGTCAAACTGCTGATATCGCTCTCGTCGTCTACGCGCGACAACAAACGACAGCTCGTTCTTACATCATATCAGAGGTAACGTCGCTTGCATACTCGAAAGCAAGCATCTTACCAATTTTATGGTTATACTCTCAAGAAAGCAAGTTAAAAATTGTTTTTTATTTTAAGAGGAAGCGTAATTTCACACCACAACGTGGATAAATATCTCAGCTTGAGCTGAGCGTAATTTCTCGACACATCGAGACGAATTACACACTTACCAAAGGACAAACAAGATACTCCTTATGACTTAAGCTACGTTTCATGCGACCTGTGCGATGCATGCAGTGCAAAAATCGTGTGAATTTTGCGTAACATCAAGAGGACGTATATAATTGGGACAGGATATTTCGCGAACAATCACTCGATTGTAAAATACTCTCGCCACGCAGCCTTGTCGAAAAATTATAAAATAATTGAGGGAGAAAGAGGAAAATATGAAGAGCACACACAAATACACACACGAAGCTCACACAGATGCGGTTGTTACGTTTACATGTCCGAATTACATTATTGAATCGAGCATGAAAATAAGCTTTGAAATGCAGTAATGCAGTATGAAAATGCTCGATGCTCGGCGATGCGTTTGCGGCGAGAATGAAGAGAACAGAATACGATATAACGATCGGAATTGCGCGAAAAATTAATTAATATGAAAAACGTTGACCTCTCCACTCAATTACCTGTTTGCCGGCGGCGCTAAGCTCAAACGGTATCCCGTCATCGTGGATCTCGCGGGAACACGGGGATCGATCAAAAATTCTTACAGGAATGCCGAAGTTCCAACGATGGAGCGCCGTAGCGCCGTCGCGCTAGGCTATGAAAATTTTTGACGATAATTTCCCCCGCGGCTGCGCTGCGAAGGGAGCGAAGTTTCTAACCGGGTTTACCTGCCGTCTGTCACGAGCGTTCTCTCTTACTCTCGCCTCATGTGCCAGCCAGACACGCCGGGAAAAGCAAGCCGAAAACTTTGGTGCGCGCGCGTTATGAGATGCGAGCGGAGGAGAGTGCGATACCTTGGTAAGCGGCTGAAGGATGGAGAACGTCGTTAGTGAAATAGAGGTTGTTGACGAATGCGAGGTAGCTCGGTCTGCCATAGAGAGAACGTGTGTTGGCCCACCACAAGCTACGGGACCTCAAACCGTGAAAGCACCTGCCTGGAAAATTATCGGTAATGCTCCGTCCGTTTCGCAGATAACTCACCAAGTCGCGCATCTCTTCTCATCGGTTCTCTTAAGCGATGGTTCCGCCTGCTGGACTTTTTTTCTCGCAGGTGCATCTCGTGATTATACAGGGAGATATACGGTGACGGTACCGTGTGGTATGTACGTGTGCGGGGTTTGCGTGAGTGTGATGTACCGTCATTGGTACGTGTGGTGGTGTCGTTATTTTTCTGTGAAAGAGAGCCACGCGCAAGGGACTTTCGGCTCTTACTTAGGATCAGATATCTTTATCGGAATAGCGCGTGATCAAATTATTTTGAACGGGAGGTGCGGCCCATTTCTATCTCGTGTACGTGATCATTAAATTGCGCTGAACCTCTCCACGACGACGACGAGGAACTGACCTGTGTGACCCCCCCGCGTGACTCTGTACGATTTTAGTAATTGTTATCGATGAGAGAGATAATCGTGTGACGAAAATGGGAACTGAGATACACACAGAGAGACAGATATACTATTCTGAGGGTAAGTGTCACCTACACCGGAAAGGTCAAGAAAAATCTGTGAAAAATTGTCTCGTTAATAAAGATAGTACTGTGTAAAGAACGACATTCGAAAGAATTACTCAATTATGATCGATAACACATAAAAATGTGGAGAAGAAATAATGCATCAGTATCGCCCAAGTTCTACTCTTAACACCTCCACCAGTCGTCAGAAGAGTTCATTTCCGAGGAGAGTTCTAAGAGAGTGCGCGAGCCGCCTCTCGGGTTTCTACCTGAATTGGTGTATCTGGTGATGAAATAGCCGATCACGGCGTACAAGCATCCATCGAACGCGATGGTCAGCAGCACTAGTCCCAAGGACATCGGATCACCAGGACTCGACTCTTCCCAGACGTTTGCCCAGGAGATACCAGTGCCTTGAACTTCCTTCCGTACGACGTACAAGCATCCGTAACAGAAGCTGGTGGACATGCTCAGGCACTGAAACAGCCACAATTGTCACTTCATCGTCGAGGTATTTCCGGTCGCCTCTCGCTTTCACTTATAGGCGAGAACACGACGAAGCGAAACTAGACCGCGGTTTCAACTCACGATTAAAAGTTTATAACCAAGTCCGAATACGGCCTCCATGGCGATAACAATGACGTACGGCATATAAGTTAACAGGAACATGACAACCGTGGTAACCGCGGCGAGGCTGGCGGAACTGAACATCGCCGAGATCATGTAGCTGAAATTTAATGGAGATTTGCGGCGGTTGAAACAATGGAGGCGCGATCGCATGCTCGTCTCGTGCGTGAGAAGTTTGAATTGTGTCTCACTTACCAGAAAGTCACTACCGAGAAAATATAGTCGAAAAGTAAGACTAGTACCAGCAGAGGATTCGCTCGCGGCAGAATCTTCCCGGCTAGTAAAATTGTAGCTATCGACAGCATCACGATCGACAGCTCGACGTAAGAAGTGATGAACCAAGCCAGAGTGTTTCGCCATGGCTTCAATCCCATCACGCTCATCACCTGAAAACGAAGAAGCACATTTCTCGATAAGAAATTAAATATTTCAATTATACACAAATTAATATCGTAATATCATACCCAGTAAGCGAAAAGGAATTAATAGAACGTTATTACAGTGATATTCAATAGCGTGTAACGTTCTCTAACATGTAGTTTTTAACATCATTATGTAATACCAATATCATCATGAATTATTTCGACATTTCAATATTCCCAAAACATTTTTGCAATATCTAAAAAGATCATATTATCCTGGAATGTCTTTGAAACATTTTTAAAATATTAAGCAAAAATGTTCGAGTTAAAATTAATATTTCAATTGCATATCTTTTGCTTACTGAGGAGGAGTTAATTTATTCCTTTACATTAACGATAATCGTACCATAGCATTTTGCGATTCCCTCTCCCAAACAATATGTCGGACGGCCGCTCCGACGCATATCATTAATGCGAAGTAAAAGCACACCTGCATCCCCTGAGACTCGTAGAGCGTTGATTGGAAACTGTAAAAATTTCAATGGCACGTTAATTTTCAACGAACTCATTTACGAGCGTCCAACTTCAAGCAGTGACTATTTTCGTCGTGGATTCTCGTGACCTGAAGTCGCGGAAAATTATTTCTTCAATCACTCACGGTGTGAGTGCAAGCGTAATGTAGCAGACGGCGTTCTGGTTATTATGTTTGAAGGTCCCGAGTCGATCCCCGACAGAATTGAAATCTTTTTCGTGCGCTCATCTTTTGCTGGCAGCCAGCAAATCACAAGAAAGAGAATATCTTCACTATCAACATTCTCTCTCTATTATATTAGTCGTTCGGAACCAGTGTTAAACTGTAAATCTCACACGATGGTAGGGTGAAAAGTTCCGGCCCTCACATATAGATAACTCTACTATGTTCAATATTTTAATAGTGTTGCATGATTTTATCCTTCATATGCTTATATTTGAAGATTCAAATCAATAAATTGTTTAGTATTGGTTTGATAGCTTGCCAAAGTAAACGCCTCAAGCATTGTAAAAATAGAAAAAGTTGAAATTCGTGCCGTGATTACGCTAAAATCAATGAATTAAAGTTCGTATTGCTTGCCCACCCATCGTACTCGCCAGATTTAACTCCAAGCGACTTCTATCTCTTTCCCAGCCTCAAAAAATGGCTCGGTGGAAAAAGATTTGCTAACGATAATCAAGTCAGCGAAGCTGTAAATGGCTATTTTGAAGACCTTGACAAATCGACCAGTCTGATATAACCGCTTTATAATATCGTTGGGAAAAGTGTATCATGCAAAATGGAGATTATGTTGAGAAATAAATGAAAATCAATCCAAAAAGATTTTGTTTTCTTATTCAGACCCGGAAATTTTCACCCTAACCTCGTATATCTTATAAGACTTGGTCTACAATATGCAGAGTAAGCTATAAGCCGTAAGAATTGACCAATTATAGTCGATTATTACAAAAATAATCGGTTAAGATTTGACCAATTTTTACAGCTTACTCCGCATATTGTAGACAAAGTCTAATACCACCAGCGTGCCCAGTAAGTAAGAAATCATTAATACAATGTTGCTAATGATATTGAAAGACCTGTAATATTGTCAAATATGTAGTGTTTAATATTGTATCGAACATTATTATGAACATACTATGACCGCGATTTGGAAGTTTCAATAATGTTGAAATAGGGTTGCCATAACGTTTTAATCGGCAGAAATATTTTTAAGATGTTGCATTGATCTCAAATAAATGTTAAAGTAACATTTGAAAAATATATTTTTTGTAATGTTTTTAAAACGTTTAAACAATATTTAGAAAAATCATATTACAAAATAACATGTGAAAAATATAAATGCAATATTATTAAAAAATGTCCAAACAATGCTCATGAAGTCAACGTTTCTAAACGTTAATTTAATGTTCCTTGCTTACTGAGTGTGTACTAATGATATATGAACGCTTTACTTTTTTAAACAGAGAACCGATAGGGTGTGCCGACTTCGGTCGATATTAAGAGAAATTATACGATAAAATTAACAAACGAATATTTCCGATCCAAATATCGATGAATTGTTTGTATTCGATCAGGAAATGTCCGATGAAAAATAATTTTTTGATCGGTTTACCTGACGAAATGCCACTATTATCGGAAGTATTAGATTAAATTTAATCGGATATCCTGGAGTACTATTTTGTACACGCTTATCGACAACTGTCGGATCGCTAGGCGCATTTTATGGTATAAAAAAGCTACGTAACGACGTCTAGCGATCCGACAGTTATCGGTAAGCGTGTACGAAATACTATCCCTAATCGGATACACAAATTCATTAGTATTTTTATCGGAAATATTCATTCGTTAATTTTTTATCGGATAATTTATCTTAGTGCAAGTACGATCATTAGATTATACAAATTCTCTAAAGCGCCTAAAGAAAAACCCATAATTAGTCTATACGGCGCTACAGAGTATTTGTAGCGTCTGATAGATTGCCCTCTATGTGAGAAGTGACACAATAGACAGTAGTCGCGTGCTTTTTGAGACAGCTCCCATGACTCCCTTCATTGAGAGAAATTATCCGATGAAAAGAATTCACAAACGGATATTTCCAATTAAAATAGCGATGAATTTTTGTGTCCGATCAGGAAACATTCGATGAGAAATATCGGTCTATAATTTTTTCATCGTTTTATTTGATGAAATGTCATCATGATTGGCAGCATCTGATAAAATTTAATTGGCTGTCCTGATCGGATATAAAAATTAATCGGAATTTGATGGGAAATATCTGTTTGTTAATTTTTTATTGGATAATTTTTCTCAATGTTGTAATTAAATACAAATGCAATACAATACTCACGGTGTGAATTTCCAGCAAGGATACGGCATCTGTTGCGTGAGCGTCCTCCAATTCAGATCCCTTCGACTTTTTACCTTGATGATCGCGCGATCGACGGAATCTTGAAGTTGTATGAAACCACGGAGATATCTGAGGTGTTCGAGGAAACTGCTCTCTGGGCCGGGAATCCAAAATTGATTCTTTAGTCGCGTGGTGGACGGCACATAGTCTACGTCCATACGAATCTTATAGGTGATATTATCGGGTAACTCGTGATCCAGGGATCTTTTCGAACGCGTCGAGGAATCGTCCAGGAAGACCACTCCTGCCAAGAACTCGTTGGTGTTGGTCAAGCGGCTGGCTGCTGCTTCCAGTTCCTCTTCCGTGGAGAATCCTATCGTCCTGTTCACCAGCACGCAGCCCATCATGTCGTTCAACATGCCAACCATTGAAATCATCTTCTTCGATCTCTTCAACCGCCACGCGATCTCGCTAAGATTCAACTCCGAAAAGTCAGCTGCGCAACAATCGTAAGTGTATATGTGAATAAGAATTACTAGAATCCTTTTTTCATTTTACCCTTGTTAAAAGTTAATCGTCGATATATGAACGGTACCTTCGATATTGCCTCCCATCGACTTGACTGCGACCTTCATCACGTCGGAGGTTAAGATACTTTGTAAGTCTTTCAAACTGTCGCCCATCTCTGACAGACTAGCCAAAGATTTAAGAGTCTTCTCCAAACTATTTACCAACATGCTAAAGTGATCCATCTGTACAAAGGTCTCGTTCGTTAACGCCATTACTTCGGAGATCACAAGAGTGTTAGGCGCATAAAGAATCTGACCACGTAACAGAGGCTTAACGTACGACCAGACAATCTTGCCGCCGGGCATAGCGATCACATCTTTATAAGTCTGTTTGCAGAAGTCGTCTGTAATCAGGAGAATAACGTTAACGATGACTTGTTTTCATTTTAATATCATAGATGGGTGTATGTGCCATCGTTTTCGCATATTTAACTTACTTGGCAGGGAATTGAGTTCCTCCTGATCGCTTGCTTTATTGCTGTCCTTCAAGTTGGAGACGATTTTGTAAATTTGTCCGTTGTTGTCTTGTAGCATCAGTGGCTTACCGCAAAGCATATCACTGGCGTCTTTCAAAAATTGCGAATCTACAGAAATCACAAGCATACTTGATGAAAGAGGATAAATTTCAGTTTGAAAATGATTCCGAGATTTTAATATAATGCTAATATATATCACGTTCATTTATACGACTTACTGGACATTGTTCCCTCAGTTTCTTCATCGTTATTCTCTTCTATCTCCACTCTGGAGGAAAGACTCGCCGCCAGTTTGTCTTTGAAAAACGGGAATAATTCTGCGGCAACGCCGAGATTATCCAGTACAACTTTTCCTTCAGTTTCGGTTAAATTCGCATTGGCTAATATGTTCTTCACGTTAGCGATCATTAACTGAAACAGAAGGAAGATTTTTCAATTTTCTCGATTTGTATCCAAAGCACATTGAGATAACAGTCGATTCCGTCTAAGCTGTATTTACATTTTTGAAGACGTAGTCGAAGTTTATGTTCTTGAGTAACGTGATGATGATGTTCTGCGTTTGCGAGTCGTTCAATTGACAAAGCGCGGAGCTAACTTCATCGGCAGTCACGAGGCCGTTATTGAAATACAACATATCGCCAAGTTTCTCTGCTGAACAAATGGTGTCTTTCAAGCTGATGATGCCGCGCTCTCTCATAAAGACCGAGAGCATATCTATCTTGGCTTGAGACAACGTGAGAAGAACATCATTGGTAATGTTAATATTGTTGATCAAAAACATCCTCACCACGTCCCAATTGTCAAACATCTCCCTGACAACGTCTGTAAAATGAAAGTGAAAATGAATCAAGTTAGAAAACATTGTAGAGCATCTAACGAAATTTGTACGCGGCTCGTTACATTTTATATCCAGCAGCCCTAAGTTCTTGAAAATCTCCATCGATTTCAATGTCGTAAACATGGTATGCATATCACTGATTACTTCCTGATCCTGCACGAGCGGCTCCACGTCATCGAGGAGTTCCTCCATCCTATGAATAATACATTCCTATATTTTCAATGCAATGTGAAATTTTACATTTTTTAATTAATAAAAAAGGAAACAGGAAATTTAAGAAAGAAATATTAAAGAGCTTGTTGTTATTACAGTGTTATAATATTATTATAAATTAATATAATACTATATTTGTATAGTTCATATTTAACGTATTTCATATAAAATATTAGAGGCTGGCAGAAATTAAAAGAAGAGATCGAGGTATACTTACGCGTCAAACAGCTTATCGACTGTCTTATCGTTCAATATGTTGATTATACCATCGGCGAGGTCGGGGACTCCGAGAACATTGGAAACGTCTCCGAAATCTATCTTACTGGCGACGTCCAGCAGATTCCCGGTTTCTCCGAGGATCATGGATAGATGATGCAGGATTTCCTGCAACCAGGTGAGTTCCCAGGAGGCCTGCGTGCGCCAATATGGCTGCTGCCGATTTATGAGATCCACATCCAGGCTGAGAGCCAACCGGCTCGAAATATCGGCTACCGACGGGTAGTTGGCCGCCTTCGGATCGTAACGTAAAACCTTGCCCGCTTTCTTTGAGCTGAGAAAATCGTACAACACGCTCGCGTTCCGGCAGTCTTTTCTCGTGTGGCACAGAGTCGTTTTCGCGTTGTTCAAGAACGCGTTCACGTTGATGGTGGCGTTCGGTAACAAGGCGTCGACATCAGCGAGGTCAGACTGCTTCACCACGTCGCGCAATGGTATCCAAATCGGCACGTGGTTCTCGGCCAACCTCGTCAAGTCGTTGATTTGCTCATGATATGGCAACGAGTCCAAGAGAAAAACGTTATTTTCCAACATATCCAGTAAGCTCAGCAGGAACATGACGTACCTGGCAAGTGACAATAATTACGTAATAAATAAAACAAAATACGCGCACACACACCACGAATTTACCATTTTTAATGCAATGAGAAAGAGAAGATACATACAAGCCTGGTCGAGAATATTTGGAACTGCCGATGAACTTGTTGAAACAGTTGGTTATTTTTTCGTGATACGTATCATTTTGGAAATCAATAATAATGTTGGCGACGTAGTGCAGAGTATTTTCGAGCGTACCTAAGAACTCATTTAGCGTCCTACTCTTTTTCAGATATTTGTAGTCCTTGATCTGTATGGGAGGTCATTTTGCAGTTGATAAATAGCTCTCACGTTCTCAATGTAATTTACAGCTGTTTCCTTACCATGTTGGCCGTTTTATTCCAATTGAAGTCATTCGTCAAAACGTTACGTATCATTGATATATTCAGTCGATCCATTTGACAGAGAAGCTCGGAGTAGCGACCATATTGCGACAACTGCGAGTTTAAAATCTCCATCGGAAGGGTGACGCACCACGTGCAATTTCTAAATTCATGATAAAACGGCGTGTATTATTTTTATAATGTTATCAGTCGTCGTTCTTTTTTCCAATGACGTGTTTACTTACTTGTTATTAACATGCCTTTTAAAAACATTCTCTAGTTGCGACATTATTTTCTTCACTATCAAATGCGCTAAAGCTCTCGCGTCCTATAATAATTGTGAATTAAATTAATTTATTAAAGGACTTTTTCGAAATATTCGAGTAAATCTGTATTTTTTGGGTATATAATTAGTTAATTCGTGTAGGAAATATTAATAAATTTGCGGCGATACGTGCCTTCTTTTTATATTGCGCTTCGAAATCCTTATAAGTGCCCTCCTCGAAAGACGTCCACCATGTAGGAATTTTCGGCTGCTTGTAACCTTCCGACAAGACGCGAATTAAAGTCGTCTGGAATCCTTGCAACTTCTGCAGCAACTGCATTTCGTTTGCTGATTCCGAAGCTCCCGAGCCGGGCGTGTTAGGCACAAAGTGGCTATTCTGTAATTAAAGCAAAAATATTTAACGCTCAGCCCAGACCAGTGCTCGGAATTACTTGCGTTTTCGATGCAATTTTCGAGATTTACTTTTTTCTTCTTGTCTCTTCTTACTCGGCGATCGCACAACTGACTGTCATGATGCTTAGCCTCAGAATCGTCAATTGTATAAGACCTTCGGAATTATTTTTAATTTCTGAAAAGTTCTTGTTGAAAACTAGTGTTCTATAGCTGTGATCATAATAATATAAACATGTTGGTAACGCAGATAGAGACATAATATTATATATAAATAACACGCATAATAAGAACTTTTTACAAATTAGAGAAAGTTCCGCAGGTTTCATACAGTTGACAGTTCTGAGACTGAAGGCCGCGACTGTCAGTCGCGGTGAGCGGGAGAGGCAAGACAAAAGAGTAGACATAACCTTCGAAGATCATCTTAAAAACAAGTAATTTCAAGCACTGATCTAGACGCGTACCGTTATGATTAGTCAAGATCAGCAATCGGACATTACATTATAGTTTTCTTCGAATGGCAGAATATCTGTCCACGTCAAATGCTTGCCGCTCATGACGATTTTCTGGCAGAAGTTTGTGATGCTAGACAATATACCCTTTCTTCTTATATAGTTCGGTGGAATTAGATATCGATCGACGTCGCAAGGATGCAGCTGGCCGCCTAACATTCTCTGCAAGAAATCGTCCAGTCGCTCGGACGAAACGAGGGTCTCGACGGCGGTGATCAGGAGACTAGGCATGTCCTCCACAAGGTTCAGTAGCGGCTTCATTTTTGAGCTCTCATGTATGACGCGAAGCTTTTGCCAAATGTCTCCGCCGGAAGCGAGATCGATCACGGATTCTAGTAGTTGAAACAGTCTGCCGGCGTCCACGTGGTAATCGGTGCCATGCAACATCATATTGAATCTGTACCACGAAGAGTTCTGGTATTCGTGTATCCAGGATTTCTCGGACTTCAGGATTAAGGCCCACGTGTCGTTGGATAGATTCTGCCACGTCGTCACATTGAAAATGTGCGACTTGAGACTCAGCCCTGGCGACGTACTGGTCAGATTCCACACGGTGTCCAGCAATTTTAATAACGACATGGTCAGTGGTGTCGATTTCACGAAGGCATTCGTTCGTCCAGTGACAACATTCTGCAAAGAACATGCGTAAGGATATATAAAGTTCAACGCACTAGAAATCGATATCTTCTATCTCTAACCGATTCACAGATTATCTGTATATATAAAATAGAATATTCGTATATATATAAATATATATAATTAAAATAATATATATAATAAATATATATATAATTTGCTCCCTATAAACTCCTGAACTTCTTGACAGATTTGAACGAAAGTTTATATAGTCACTCTCTAACACACTGTGAAAAATATAGGCTACATGAAACTTGAATATCCCACTCTCTCCTCATGATTCCAACCCATTAATACTTTGTGATAATGTAAGTTTAGTATTCTAGATATAAGAAACCCAGGCCGGATAGTTTAAGCTAGTTAAGATAAGAATAATTGGTATTCTTCGTTTTCTCCATTTTATATTATTAGAAGCGTTTTAAATGAAAAGATGCAAAGTCAGTTTGTACCTATGATCTCCAAGCATCCATAGATTAAATTATATTTTTCTATTTATACGTACGTAATATTCATCGCTCGTGGCAGTCTTCAATAGCTGATAAGGATCGAAGGAGCACACTTCTTGTAGAAAATGCAACCTGCGGGGTTCGGACCAGTAAGCAGAACCGAAACGAGAAGTGCACATAGATCTTCTGAAATCTTTGAATGGCAATAACTTGCCCGTGGTGTAGTTGAACGTGCTGATAGTGGCAATTAGCGCGATAGTCTCTTCAGGATGAGCTTCCAGAATTTTCAGTATCTGCCGTGTGTCGCCGTTTTCCGTCAATTCCCAGGTCTCAATGCCGCGGTTGTGTATCTTCGCACTCTTCAGCGCATCGTTAATGTGCAACAGAGTCTCCGACACACCCTCCACCAGTAATACGTAATTGGACCATCCCTGACCCGGTTTTAACTCCTAAAAAGGATCATCAAACATTATATCTCGCTTGTATCGCAAACACTCGATCAAAGTTGAAATTTTCATGACTAAAATTCTCATGACTAAAATTTTCATGATTAGAATCTAACTCATCTAGAAAACTAGCGTACCGAACACGGTAATTATCGATTAACCGTTTACCTTTTCAAAAGTGCCTCTAGGATGTCGAATCTCCAGAGTCTCCTTTAGTTTAAGCAACATATCGTTCAAGTATCTCTTCGAGAAGGGCGGCTCAATGATTATGTTGTTTTTGATCACGAGACTGATGGCTTTCACGAGATCGTACAAGTCGCCGATCATTGTGACTAAGTGAGATCGGTACTTGCTAGCGGGCTTCTCCCAGATCATCACTTCCGCCATGTAGAAGTCAGTGTACGCGTTGAAATTCTCAGGATCGAGATCGCAGGTAAAATTCTTCAAAGTCCTGTAGTCCGTGGTGCTTAAGCCAACTCTATCCTCCGACAGCCAGTTAAACATCATTGAGCACGTAATCGCGGTGTTGTTCTTCAGCGTATTGACAATTTGTTCATTGATTACGGGATCGGATATTCCGTTCAACAGCGTCGACAAAATATAAGGCAGCTGATCGTGGAAGATGGCGACGGCAGTTGTGCTGTCGAATCCCAACAAGGATAACAAACTGATCTTTCCTGTGCCTGTAAAAGAGAAAAGACATCGCAGTCGCATAGTCGGCACAATATTGCTTCTCTTTCTAAATGTCACAGCGCGTCGATATTATAATCTACTCACCTTCATTCAGTATGTTGGCCGCGATTCGTACACCTTTGTGAACGAAGTTGGAAACATACTTGAGAAGAATGAGAACGCGATCGATATCATCGACTGTCGGCTTCCAAATTGTGCTTGCGGACAGATCGCTTCTGAATGCTTTGACCGCCTTGTCGATCTCCATGTCGACATGATCCAGAGTATTCCTTGATTGAGAAAAAAGCTCTTGATAATTATCAGTGATTACATAAAACAACACACAGACTTATTTCCCAAAAGAAGACCAGAAAGTATCTTTTTCATCAAACTGAAAATTTGAAGTATGACACCGTTATTCGATCGTTATTTCTAACGTGTGTTTCTTACTTCCAATCGCTCATCATATTCGGCAATCTTTCGTCGATGATTTTATTCGCTTCATTCACGATTGTCTTCATGTACTTCTTCATGTTCGGTTGTTCCGCCAAGACGACTTCCTTGGCGTCGTTGATCAGGTTGTCGAGCTTCTTCACCACTTGCCGGAAATTCCTGTAGCCCATCGTCCAGTTGAACGGCAGGACGCTCACGTTCTTTTCACGGTCGAGCTAAAATTCAATATCAAGCGTGATTTCTACATTCGATCGCAATGTAATGTATCCTGCACACAGGATAAATGAAGTATACTATAACGTAACTCACCTGTTTTCGAACATTCGCTATTAACGGTTGATCCGTCCACTCCTTGATAAAGAGTGACGGACTGCAAGCGATATTCTCGATCTCTCGCACGACTTCGCGACTTTCTTTCCTCAGCTCTATAGCGACGCCGATGCTCTCGTTCAGGACGCAAGGCCACATCTGCTCGCGCAGTTTGTATTCGTCGATAACCGATATCTGTGAACGCATCGTCGGTCAGACTCAAGATTTTGCAGTACCAAGTCGCCGAGTGAAGCCACAGCGAACAAAATTTCAGTGCACAAACTTCAATAATTTACTTACGAGAGCCACCGGCTTCAGCGTGATCATGTCGACCACATCGAGAATGATCGGGGGTAAATTTCTCAGGAATGAGCTGACGAGTATCTCGGTCTGCGGCATGTCCTGCAGCACATTGGTGAGGTTAGCCACGTTCTGGTTTTGCCGAATATCGTCCGTTATCTTCTCGATCTTGTCGAAGATCACCGAGATCGCCCACGCGACACTATAAATGTCCTTCCAATGTTGTTTGGTCTGTATCCCAAACACCGGGCTCTCCATCACGCTAAAGAGCTTGCAGATTAAACCTACGCTGCAAACATATGTAGTGTATCACCAAGCATGTGCGTCATCGATCTGCACAATCAATTTCGCACCTTTTGTCCTCGTCGAGATCGACAACTGGGAGACAACTGCTGCCGATGAAGAACCACAAGTGCATTGAAAGTATCTCTTACCTGATCTCCCACGTGTCCTTCGCCGTCACGTTCGTCGTCCACGAAGTTTCGAAGTCCCGCTTCAATTCCTGGATCCTCTTCAAGTCATCCGGCTGAACCTCTTGATGCACCATCGTGTCGATGTACTGGTAAATCTCGATCGTCTTCTCGTTGAAAGCCGTCCAATTAAATTCCCGCTTCCTGTGGGCGGTGGCTTCCTCGATATCGATGCTGGTCACGTTTACTTCCAGACCCGCTTGCACCGATTTCGATAGGTAGCACACCAGCTCCCTGAGGAGCTTAGCGTTGGATTCTTTGGGAAAGTTCAGCAAAGCCGGCGGACTCGAATCCACGCAGTAGATCCTCGTGAAATTCGAATACGTCAGGATCTCTAGCGTCTGTTTGACCGAGAAGATCGCGTTAAAACCTTCATCCACGGGGCAACCGCGCGTGCGCTATAATGTCACGCGAAATTCGGCAATCGGAAGGAATCGCGCTTCTCAACTGACCTTCTGTCTGTCTGTCACGGTGAGGTAGAACGACTTCATGAGCTCGCTCTTGTGTTGGCGTACCTCCGCGATCCAGTTATTGGGATTAACCTGTAGGCCATGCAAAATCACTTCGGCCAATATGTCCATGTTTTCCAGGTCCGGTTTAATGGTCCCATAAGATATACTGCGAATGCCCACCATCTTCGCTATGCTCAGATGAATTGCCAAACTAGTAGAAAAAAATGAAAGGCATAAGAAAGGAAAATGACGAATGCCGCTTCGCGATTGAGGATTTAAGAAAACTTGTGATCGGAACCGGTAATAAAGATGCGTGAGTCACGGATGCACGTTCTAGTGAGACTGGCTAACTTTCGCAATATTCAAAAGAAATAACAGTTCTCAAGATATGTATCAATAGTTTAATGTTTTTTGTCCACACAGCGGCTAAGTAGAATATGGATATTAATGCTTGCATTATTGTGATTAGGTAGCAATCACTTTTAGACGTTGGCGTCATTATTCATCTCTCTAACACTGAGCTACAATTATTTAACTTCGAACGTTACGGTTTTTATAATTTCATATACTGAAAGCAATCCAAACTTTGGAGCCGAAACGTATGTAGTTTGTTTTATATTTAAAAATTTTTATTCGACTAACGATGTTGGCTCTTACTTGTCTTCTTACAATTGTCTCGCGACTCAGATAAATGCTAGTTTACGCGCTCGGCTAATACACTCACATATCTTTCCTGCCTTGATATTGCGTCTCCTCGAAAGTTTTCGTCCAGTCATCGCTGATTTGGAAAACGCTCCAGTCCAAGTATTTTACCCTGCGGACGTTCTGCGCGTCCAGATATGCTACGAACTCTTTGACGTGCTTCACGACGGACGTTAAGTTTGCATGTTGGACCCTGACTGTTTGCTTGAACGCCATGCTGATCAAAGTCGACAGAGTTTTGGACACCTGAAGAACGTGTCTCGATTAAGTGAGAAATGAAATTAATAAAGCGCGTCGTTACTCGACCACAATAAGTTGTACGTACGATTGTCTTGAATTTGTCAAACTCGAAGCTCTCATAGACGTCAGTAATGAATTCTTTTCCGGAATTGCTGCACAATAATTTCTCAATTTCATCGGATTTGTTCTTAAGCTCGACGGAATTGTCGAACACTTCGTTTATTACTTTCCTCTGACAGAATATTTCCTTAGCTTTCGCTGCCCTCAGATCGTCCGCTAGACGCTGTGAATTTATGAAAATTTTCATAAATCACGACTGACCTAAACGCTTGATACACAATGGCGTGAAAGACGTTCGGGGAATTGTTCAACTGAAGAAAAAACGAGAGTCCCGTGTGACGTACGATATACAATAAGCGTAATATACCTCTAAGAGATCCAACCGGGAGAAGGAATGGATGATCGCCCTATATACGTCAGGATCTACATTCGTCAAGATCTTTTGGACCAAATCCTGATGTTTCTTAGAGACCTCGTACAATTTCCTCAGAGTATCTCTGTGGAGAACTGCAACGTGATGAGTCATTTGCACGATGTTATCCATCAGCGACACGAGGTACGACATTGAATTCACTATGTTCTCATGAAAGTAGTTTTTGAGTCCGTCTAAAACTTCAGCGGCCCTAAACATAGCATTGCACAATATTACACGCGATTAAGTATCGTCGCTGATCTCATACGAAAGAGAGACACTTACAACTCGAAGTCATTGACGTGACGATCCAACAGCCTGTTGGTGAGTTTGATGCCGTCCTGCAAGATCATGAAGGATAGATCCAATATCTTCGTGATATTCTCGTAATTATCCGCATTCGAGGAGAAAGCCGATATCCTTCCTGCCAAACGATCCATCACGCTGAAGAAATCATCCGTGGAATTAAGTTTCCCGTGCTTTAGAACTTCCTTCAGTATTTTCAGGAGTCTGTTTAATTTTAAAAGCCCACCTCGGGCAACGGGCCATTCTCGTTCTTGCACAAACAGCGGATCCAAAATAACTAGGGCTTTGTTAATGCTGAAATTAAAATGCCGCATTCACTTTTCTTCGAAAACTGTCTCGAAAATTCGTGAAATCGAATTGCGAGGCGGGAAAGTCGCGAAACGGGGAAGAAGCGCGTCTGACTTACAAGTCGAGGTCGATTTCCTTGAAGGTAACATTTTCCATTACCAAGATCATGCTTGGTAACCACTTGCGCAGCCTCAGATAGTCGGGTGCGTACTTCTTGGTCGTCTTCAGATCCAAGATGATTTCCGACGTCCGCTTCAGGTCCTGAAAGAAATTGTAATGGCGAAATTTCGCCATCACACGGTCCACCATCGCCAACAAACCGGTGAAGTCTAGATGCTTCGAGAGATTCTCCAGAATATCGGGAATCGCCTTCGCATCAATATTGCACAGGACATTCGAAATTTCCACATAATCCTCTTCTTTAGGTACGATCAAATATTTCTTCAAGCTCTCCGCCGAGCAGACGACGGTGTCAATGTTAGACGAGCCGAACGTTTGGATCAACTGTAAAAGGAATCGATGTAAATGAGCCATTCTGTCTTCTTCGCAATACCACAAAACGGACGCGTGACGACGAAGGTAATACTGACGTATAATAATTTTACAGATGACTCGAACAAACCATCAACCAATCCCTCTCTCGCTTCCGGCATTTGAGATTTCAATAAATCCTTAATTTGCTCGTGATTATTGAACAGGTCGCCCAAAAGGATTCCCCTGTCTATATCATTATATTCAATTAGAGACCTTGATATAATAACATCATCATGTATATTTTGTTGCATACACTCTCACCGAAAAACGCCTTGATTTCCGGCTTGGTGAGAATCTGCGCCATCGACTTCAACAGCTGAATACTTTGCGGCAACGTCTCCACGGCGGAAATGATTGTCATGTTATTAAGCATCGGCTGCAGTTCCAACACTAAAGGGCCTAAACTGTTGTTTCCAAGAGAAAACAAGATGATGAATCACGATATCGGCGGCGAGTCTAGTGGTCTCGCGATTAACGCGGTAATTTGTCGTAATGAGAGACGCAAATAGATAGCAAAACAACGACCAGGTAATCTGGCCGTCGCGAGACTCACGTGGCGTTCCTGTATGCAGGCACTTCCTCGTACTCCGACAGCGGATCGCAAAGATTACCGAAGCTACATATGTAACTCTGCACGAAAGGCAAAAGTCCATCTTGCGGCATCGACCTTGCGGGAAACTGACACGTTGGATTATACTCCGGATCGACATTATCGCGTAGTGTGTAGAGAAGCATGAAGACCGCTACTGGCCAGAGAAAAACCAAGGCCAGAATCCCCTAAGATGAAATATTGGTTTACGGTAATCTATTGAAACAGATGCCTTGTCAAGTTACGTTACGTCGACTCACCGGCTGTCGCTTCCGCACAATATAATTCTTCCAAAGAAGAAGCCCAAGCTGATCCACCCACATGTTCACGAAAATAGTGAATTACACGACACTGCGAAATCTCCTGGGTTTCTGTTCAACAAATGTTCGCGTAATTTTGTTATTTAAATGTTTCTCTACAGAAATATGTATTATGAGAACTTGAATTAGAGAGCGATAATTAATTATAAAAAATAAATAATTATAAAAGAGATAATTAATTATAAGAGATAAATAATTATAATTCATGTTATAGACTGAATATCCAGAGGATATCCAATAGATTACAGATTAACGTAACTCGCTGTTTTCTTCTTGTAGAAAAAACAGTAAGCAATTCTTAAGCATTGTTGTGGAGTGACAAATATAGTTGTTACTTAATGTATTTTTAATTTTTTCTTTACATCCTGTGACTTTGTTTAATCGAATTTAGAGATACAGACGCTGCTTTATTTAAATCAGTATTTGAGTTAGCGATCGTCCTGCTGACGTTGTCACTGCGACATTTCGATGCCGATAGGTGCACTTATTGCGTGTGCATACGTGTGTGCTTTAATTAACATTAAGTAAGACATTAAGATTCAAAGTAAGACATTAAGATTCAAAAAATGTGTTATGTAACAGGAAATATCGGAGGATTAAAATCGATCGAATCGTAGACGTCTTGGAATATATTTAAGAACAGATATGTATTGCAAATCTATATGTGTTATTTTGGCTGCACCTTTTTTATGTATTTCATATCTATTAAATTGCAATTCGCGCATCTCTTAACCTTTAGACCATCGAAGTTTGAAATGTCCGAATTCCCGACGAATGTCATCTAAACTTGTATCTTACTTAAGTTGTATTATAAATATATCACATACGAAGTTTTGATTACGGCTCGTGCCTATATTTAGGCTTTCTGATTTAAAAGTTAAACTAAATGATGTGATTTAAAATCGTAAGAAACGTGTAAAAAGAGCTTCAGCCAAATTATTTTTAAACACACGTTTATGTGTTCAAAAATAACACACTTGGACTAACACTATCGCAGAATAAAATTCCTGCGCTAGTTTCATATATATTTTTAATCTTTTCAACAGCCTACTATTGCCGACAATATAAAGCTCGATTTGCATAAATTACGGTATAATAACACACTAATGTCGGTGATGTTTTGTGGACTCACGCGTCTCTGCCCATAAAAGTAATTGTAGACTTTATAGTCGTGTTTTAGTTTGTTAAAGAGGAGTCGGACTTCTCTTTAACATATGAAATTTTACTCGATTTCTCTAACGTTACGTCACAAAAGAGCATCTGACAACACATACTAAACGTGCAAACACGCATCGCGGACCCTTACAAGCCGAGATTCTGCCTGAGGGAGAGAAAAAAGGAATAAAAAAACGTAAAACTGTACCGAAAACCTCCGAGCATTTCTGCGAGGTACAATGGAAAGTTTTGTGAGCTCGCGTGCGGCCATATACTTTTCCGTCTAGAGTACTCGAAATGTGTGGAATCCACTTGAACTGAGTGCACTCGGAAAAATGCTGCCGGTGAGTGGTGGCCTATCAGAAAATTGTATCGCGGCATGAAGAAACAGCTGAAAATTTCTCACCGTTCTAGCGCTCGCGTCTTATTCCGTAATATCAGGCGGGTACAATTACGCGTGAGCGGTACATACCGGCGAATACACTTTCATTAGTAATTCACTCCTGAGCCTAATGCATTGCGCTATAAATGACTCTAAGGTTTGCTCTACGAGCAAAGACGAGGAATATTAATGAAAGCGAACGATAGCTGGCGATGATTTCGAAATAGGACGCGGCAATTGTGACGTGTCAGATCTTGGGAATTCAATGAGAATATCTCGTATACCTTTTCCAATGTACCTTTCTCCAATGTACCTTCCTTCAATGTATCTTACGCTATTTCAATTTGTCTCAAATTATGTGTATTTTCACATACTACTCAAGAATGGCTAACTGTGTGAATCTTCATTTCTCAGTGCTGGACTTAGCGTTGAGGATGCTTGCGGAAAGCCAGCGTCTCTTCCTAACACTGTTTAGATATCGAGCATGATGTTGTATCACACAATGCTATGCTGACACACGAATTCTTCCTAAAGGATGCGAGACGATACTGTGCTGGTAAACAGAGCCGGTATGTTTAATATTACTCGGAACAGATACGAGAAGGGACTGTGGAAGGGGGATACTTTACTGGAGACTCGTGACAGAGATATAATAAGAAAAAATCCGCAAAAAAGTTTTACACATTAACAAAAATAAAGATGTCACGCACGTGTATGGGTCATTTTATGAAAGAAAATGATTCTAAAATCTCGTTCTTGATATCAGCTAATTTTTATTATCCTTGATATCCGGATATTTATCAAAGGAATTTATGCAAATCGCTTTATATTGTCGGTAAGAATAGGTGTTAAAAATATATATAAGATTGGCATAGATTAGCATAGGTTGGCATAGATTGACATAGATTGGCATTTTATTAAGCAAAATGAGAATGTTTAGCGCGATTGCGGCAACGTTTGGGATAAAATTCGAATCTACATAAATTATATGTAGATCTATGGCCGCTAAATTTTAAAACTGTTTAGTTTTCGATGCACGCGCACTCTCTCTCTCTCTCTCTCTCTACTGAAATTTTCATTTTCACTTAGTGCACACGCACCGAGGACCAAAAGCCAGAAGACTCCACATTGCAATTTGCAGACCCCGCGGTCTATAAATTACAGCTACAAAACGGTATTCAAGATCATTGATAATTCCTCGTAAACTGCCACTGCCGACGCGTGTAATATGCAGCGGAAATTCGAGACTGTGTTATTTCGTTTTGCCCGCAGTATATCGATCGCGTTGCCTCGAAAGAGTTCGCACGGACGCGAGGTGTAAATTCGCACGCGCGCGCGCGCGAATATCGAAGACAAATAATATCCGGTGTAGATAGATTTATACCGGGAGGGATTACTCGTCGATCGATATCAAAAGTAAAACATTCGTGCCGCGCGATCCAGAACAAACCTCAGCAGCGAACAGCGTGACTAATTTGCGTGTCCGTCGATGCAGCTGCAGCCGGAAATGCGTAAATGTCCTGTCGCGTGCTGCAGCGACAGGATGCATTACGAAGATATGGAGCAGTGAACCGGGCGGCGCGATTCCCATGCAAGGATAAAGCGCGCGTCAGGAACGAATATCTTGCGCATATTCTTGCGTATATTCTTCTCTACCGGGCAAATTATAAATACAAAAATATTACGACAAAGAAACCGGAATATATACGTGTGAATCATAGCTCGTTATTAGAAAAAAAAGCGCCGCGCAATTAATTTTATTACTAATCACCCCGAAATCAACAATTCAAATTAGATTAATAATCTAGTGTAATAGATTTTAGAAATATAAGAAACTGACTAATAAATATTAATTATTACAAATAGGAATCTCTCATTACTGCTAACGATGTAAGCTCACTGAACATATAATTAAGGCAGCTTGACATCAAACGAAGGTTATAAAGTTGTTCATACAATCGCAAGGTCACTGCTACTAGCGGGAACTCAATTCGACTTCGTCGTTTCATTAGAGACATCTTCGTCGGTACCTTCTGCGTGTTTGACCTCCAAATTAATCAGCATTCATAATCGACTACCTTGATTTCTAGAAGAAAACATGACAATTGCTCGCTCATATGTAATTACATGTGTCTCATGAGATAACAAAGATCCGTAGTAATTATTGATTTGGAAATCCTCGGTAACGGGGAGTCTGTCATTAGCATAATCGTAGACAACCCGACTGTACTTACAGAAGATCTCCACGTGAACGTAACGCGATTGGTACACCGAAATACAAACGCTCGCGTCGTCCTGAATACTTGCTTCGCGACGCGAAACTCCTTTCCCCCTTCGTTCTCCTGCGCGTGTACGGACAATGATAATATTTTACTGCTAATGAAACGCAAACGTGGAAAAACCACATTTCGCGAGAAACCACTTCGTGGCGTGATTCAATGGTCGAGCAAGCTCGACGCATACATGATCAATTAGATCAAAATAGTGCGGCGACGACGCTGCAACGAGAGAAAAGGTTTCGCCTAAAATTCAACAAAATACCGACACCAGCAACAGATAGTTTCTTGATACGGGACAGCATGTGATCTTGTAGCGGGAACACAAATGATTTGTCACTTTCAACATGCTGCTCTAAACGACACTTCTGTAATGGAGACATGACTAAATAAACGACCTGACCTAAATAAACGAGAACTAATATGATTTGTGTCTCAGACGATGTGTAGGTCTCTTCTTCTTCGTAGGTGAACACTTTCTTCGAAAGTACACTTTCGGAACTTAAAAACCAACAAGTATAACTGTGACTTGTAAAAAAGAAAGACAAAAAGAGCCAATGCAAGCCAGTGCAGTCAATTCAGTTGCAAAGAACAGATCATATGTCTGTTAAAATGACAAATGATGAGACGTAATTTTCAGAGGTAACTGTTCGATCCGTTTACCTAACGATCATCGAGCAGCAAACGTGCTTTTGTTCCGATAACCGAGGGATTCTTCTCAGTCGTTTCGGAAATTGCGTGGTTCTCTCGCGGATCGGTTCACTTCTCGTAAACGTGTCCTGTGGTGTGTTCAAAAGGGAGTCTATGCAAAGAACGAGGGATAGTACGTGAAAGTTCGTAAAAGTGTGACCAATTGTAGTCGATCCCATTAAAACTTTCAAAGTCGATCTCGAGCTCATCAAAGTTTACCCGAAAAGGTATCACCGCCACGAGAATTTATTTAAATAATCTCCGACGTACTTGCACAATCATACTATTATTACTATTATTATTTATAATACTATTATTACATGTAATACTATCATTATTATTTGTAATAATCCCCCTAGGCGTTGCAACACGTGAAAATCGTGCTTCATCGACCAGCCGATGTCCTCTTCTTTAAAAAAAAAAAAAGCAACTAACAGTCTGCTCACGAATCACAATGCGAACTACTGCAGATTTCACCATTCTTCGGCGATTAGGGGGTTCCTGGACGATCGTGAATAGGTATTAATTTGCATGGTCACAGCCCGCGC